AAAATTAAAAAAAATTATTATATTTATAAAAAACACTAATTTCTCTTAAATTATATAAAAACCCAAAATCCCTAAAATCCTCAAATCCTAACCTTAACCTGCCAGCCACCACAACTGTCGCTGATATAGTTCATACCATCCTCCTAGTCATATGTTGTCGTAGTTGCCTCCGATTGACCTTCGAAATTACGTGGGATCACAATTTTCATACTAGGTTTGCAGGGTATAAAACGTCGTTGATCGGTCATGATTTCATAGGGATTTTAGTCACCGGGGAAGGTGAGGTCGGGTGGAGCTTCGTCAACAGGCAAAGGGCAACGATCAGTGTGGGTTTAGGAGTTGAAATGAAGATTTTTAAAGTTTTGAGGTTAATTCAAAAATTTTATGTATTTTATAAAAATATATAATTTTAAATACTTTTTTTTAAATATCAAATTATGACATGTGTTACTTAACATTAAAAATTAACATCGTTGATAGACCAGACAACTATAGTGATAGCGTTTGTAACTTTAGTATGAGCACTTATTTTTATATTTAACCCTTAATTTTAAGAGTCTCCAAACTTGATGATGAAAATTTGGACGTATCGTTGTAATTCCCAAATGCCTATCAAATCCACCCAACGGTTGAGCAAAGAATCTTTCAAGCCTCTGCAAAATTTTCAGCACTAAGAGATTTTGAAGGCAAAAATATGATTTCATTTACTTTTCAACAAGTCGATTTACATTTAGTCAATTTGGTATTTCCAAAATCTTATTCAAACAAAGACTCCCTCTTGAATCTTCCATCTTTTCTTTTCCAATTCTCCAGGTTTTGACACTTTTTCTTACCCTTTTTCCTCTTGTTTCATCATTTTCTACCTTGAATATTCTTGCATAATCATACCCTTTTCTCTTATTCATACTCACCTTTAAAAACCCACATGTCTTGTACTATGACAATGTCTTCCAATCAGAAATGGAGTACAAAGTTATGAACAATAGAAGTGGACGATGGTGTCATGGATATGGTAGCCATAGTTGGAATGGATCCCCTTTTCAAATTAGATAATCCAATATGCGATAAGGCCCTTGATTTTGCACTGATTTATACAGACTTCTACTTTACGTACTATTTCTTATCTTCAATTCCTAATTGTCAAGAGAGTTAGGATAACATCTATAGCATCGTCAATCATATTCTATTCCTTTCGAATCCACTACCGGATGTACGAAAGACTCATGAACAGAGACATCCATGAAGCCTTTGTGCAATGATCCATATTTGTCTGCTATTTTTGTGACACAAGTGGTAAAGACAGTGTGTAATTCAGGCACTGCAACTTCAGCATTTGTCAACTATATTCCATAGGCTAATATGTGTGCTTCTCAGGTAAATCTTACTACGGATGCTTCGGGATTGGGAGAATAATCCGCCGGGAATACCAATTTTGAGTACTTATAGCGCCTTTTGTGCATCGTAAGTGATAACAGAGTTGTCTATATGAAGCATAGGTAGAGCCGTAGGTAACTGTAAGAACCAACATGTCATGTTAATCTTAGGACTGATGATCAACTTGTCATCTGAGCATATCAATATTTGATCATTATTGATGAAATCTCAGCCACTAAATGTGGGTGTAGTTGAGTAAACTTTGACTATGTGTATGTAAAATGTATGCATGTAATAACATCTATATGCTGTCTTAGTCAATAATCTCGTTTCAATGTGGATGAGATATGCTGATGTATGATTCTATCCTCATCAACTTGTCGAATCTGAATTCTATCCAATACCTTTCTGACAAATCTTGCTCTATCCCTAACTTAAACCTTTTGAAATTCAATGCAGAAATCATTATATATCACCTGCACCAACTGCGTTTCTTGGCTGTTTTCTGAAGGGAAAGAACACCAACTTCGGATTGCAAATAAGAATTGGAAATGAACTAGTGTGATGGAGATGGCTCGGGAAAAGCGGAAAATTAGCTCTGTTTTGGATGGAAGATAAGCGGTTTACGATAAACTATACATCGGTAATCGATGAACTGATATGAATGTCTTATAAGATGACTAACTTTATGTTGCTTGATCAAGCTTGGCAAGTTCATTGATCACTTCTTTTCTCCTTGTTAAAAGAGTACTATGGCCTCAAATTCTTTGTCTACTATCTGTAAAAAGTGTCTGTAATTGATCTGCATATGATTGTAAAGAATTCAGGTTGTCTCACAACAATGCTTTATTGGTGAATGCACCAGCTAATGTAAAATTTAACTGTGAAAAACACATTTTATTTCTGAAATAATTTACCTGAGAATACAGTATTGAAGTAAAATAATCTCAAAAAAATACATAATCAATAGTATATCAAATCATCATAAACCAACAGTAATTTGACAGGAAAAAATAACAAAAAAAAAAGGGTTAAGAAAATGAATGTTTCTTTCACAATCTGTAGGAAGAGTGTACTGACAGAATCTGGGATTCTTCATGCAGAGAAAGAACCTTTCATAAGCATCCGCCATTTTACTTGCAGTAAACATCGATAATGCATGTTTTCTTCAAGCAATCCCTTTGTTTTTCAACACTTTTTGGCCCATCTTTTATTGCTGATTCCAATGCATCAACAAAGGACTCTACATTGGGTGAAAACGTGTATCCAAAAGTTTGGTTGACAACTACCGTCCCAACTATGCTAGGATAATTTGGTGTCAAAATTGGTTTCCCACAATGCATTGCTTCCATCAAAGTAAGATCGAGGCCTTGAGGCATCGACGTCGGGTTCACAAACACGTCGATTGCGTTGTAGAAGTTGGAAAGCTCCGAAGGCTCCAGTGCACCTAATACTTTCACATTTGAGACTAAATCTGCATACCTTTTCCCCCATGGACCTGATCCTGCAACAAGCAGATAAACACCGGTGTGTGTTTTGCTGATCTTTGAGAAAGCTTCATATAGAAGTGGATGCCCTTTGTCTCTAACTAATCGTCCGGCAACCCCCAGTACGACGCTTATGTTGGCGGGGATACCATGCTTTCTCCGGAACTTTGCACCGGATGCCGGATCGAGAACAAATTTGGTCTGATCAACACCGTTTAATATCACATGGACATTCCTTTGAGGGAGCTGATAGATGTTAACCAATAACCAGTACCTGACCAGCACTTTTTGCTTATACATATATGTTGTGTATAGCTAGGGAAAAATCGGATTTCATCGACTAGTCTCGGCATTGCTTCATGAAGCTCACCTACTGGTCTTGGCGTCGTCTCTTGTGAGTTAAAAACAAGCTCTTCAAATAACTTTGAGTACATAATTTCATACCAGATTCCATGCCAAGTTACTGCAACATTAGGCACCATTTTCGCACGCCAATGAGGCAACGAAACGCTCTCAGTATGCACATAATCGAACGGTCCATTAGCGTTTATGGTGTTGAATATCTCAAATGCTAAAGAACAATTGACCGAACCATGATAATTGGCAGCGAAATATACATGGAGATTGCCTTCATGGATGTCGAGGTGAGGCTTTCGATCGGACGGCATGGTAAAAACATGGATTTCATGGCCTTAAGCGGATAAAGCACGGTATAACGTTGCAGCATGACGTTCCATTCCACCAGGGGCAGCACCAATTGGCCCTGTTTTGGAGAATACTGCAAGCTTAAGCTTCTCGAAATTGTTCCCAAAACAAAGACGGTTCCGTGGGAACTTAGAATCCCTAAGATCACCATTGAATCTGGTTTCTATTCTTGTCCAAGAGCATGGCTCAGAGCCATGGTTGATCGGTGAAATGAAGAGATAAACTGAAGTAAAGACGACGGTTATGGTTAAAACGGTGGAAAATCTGATGGAGCAACAACCTGCAGAAGAAGACGGGCTGGTTGCCTTTTTCGAAAAGGATGGTGATTTAATCAGTTTGAATATTGTGGAATTGTCGATGATGTTAATGCAAGGTACCATTAATGGCGGATCTCCATGAAAACTTCCGCAAGTTTTTATGGGATGCACATGGCTGTTCCTTTCCTTGAGATTTTGGGCACGCCTGCAACACTAAGTTCAATGCATGCAGGTGGAGTAAAGGATACGTATGAAGCCGGTGCTGTATTATAAAATTAATTAAATGTTTAGAATTTTTCTTTTCATAGGAGTAATTAGTTTTATTAAAAATAAAAGTATTTAGAATTATAATGAAAATTTATAAATCAAAACTTAATATAAAAAATTAAAGGAAAAATAAGGAATATTGATCACAGTGATTAGCACTGAAAAAAAATAAGTGATTTTAAGTTTTTCTCTAGATATATGTGAATTGATGTGAATAATTGATAATGTTTCTCAGAATGAACTAAGGGATTGAGGATACTTTTTTCCTCTAAAAAATATAAATTTTCATATAATTTAATTATTTTTCATATTTATATTGATTATTTATTTTCATCTCTCACTAAAATTTTATAAATTCGTAATATAGAATTTTATAAGTTCGTAAATCTTGCGTCCATCCCTTGAAATTTCCTAACTATATTTAGATGCAAAATTTGTAAGCATTAACTAATCTAATAGAAATACTTTATATAAGTATTAATGATATGACTATATGATAATAAAATCATATTTAATATGCGTATATGTATAATATAAAAATATATGATATCTTTAATGCTGATTAAAATATTATAAAATAATCGTTAAATTCTATTAAATTATTATAAATTAATTTTTGAAAATGATCGAATTTATATCATCAAAATATTCATTATTTGAACCATTTAATAATTATTTTATAAATTTTAAAAGATGTAATCACAAAAACATCATTTTTACTTTTACCCTATTATTATGGCTCGAATTGGATTAAGGTACCATCCAACGTGGCTATACCCTAAACATTCTTTCCCCTTTCCCTCACTCGCTCCCGTAAGCGCGTGTATTCACCTCTCAGCCCCAGTCTCCCGAGTCTTCTCCGTTCTGAAAACAAACAAAGAAAATACTAAAGAAATAAATCGTACGGATCCAAAACCTCCATTACCCCTCTTTTCAACCCAAAACCCTAATTATCAAATTACCCCTTTTTATCTCTTATGAACTTGAATCTTCCCGTACAATTCAGCATAAACCCCTGAAGAAACCCTTTCTAACCCTCTAACCCATCTGGGTATTTCTTAATTTGGGGTTCCCCCCTTTTTTATTTATAAAAATTTGAACTTGTTACTTGTATGAATGGCTACGGGGACAATTGAAGGTGAAGAGTCGAAGAACGATAAGTTTTATGCCAGGAAAATCCACAGCGAACCCCAGAATCCCACTTCTCAGCAACCTCTAGCCACCACCACCACTTCAGCTGACGATAACAACTCCCAGCATCAGCTGCCACTCCAACCTTCCGATGCCGTGGCGTCGGATGATTCGTCTAGTCGTAAACGGTCGCGGCAAAGCGCGAAGAATGCTACCAATGGGATTGCAACATCTGGGTACGTAAAATATGATAACCTTGTTAAGATTGACTTGAATGTTTTATCGAAGAATGAAGTTAGAGTTTTGAAAAGGAAGTTAGCTACTGAACTTGAGGAAGTTAGGGATCTAGTTAAGAAATTTGAGGCAGAAGAAAGTAGGTTTAATGGGGTATATGCATATTCACGGGTTTCAGGGAATGAGAATGTTGATAGAGGCTGCGGAAGTTTAGTTAGAGCGAATTCGGATGTTGGTTCCGTAGGATTGCCTAGTTCGAGGTCTTTCCATGGATTATCCGTGTCGATGGCAGAGCCTGATCATAGTAACAACGATGATGGTGGTGGGAGAATGGGTGTGAAGAACGAGAAGAGAAACCCGAAGGCAAATCAGTATTATAATAATTCAAAGTTTGCTCTAAGGAAGGAGAAGTTGAAGCCTATAGAGAGTAATAAGAAGATGAAGCCGAGTGGTGGGAAGAGTAATGGGGGTCAAATGAGAGGTGGGATTACACCGGATAAGTTTTCCAGTCAGTTGTTTAAGAGATGTAGTAATTTGTTAGGGAAGTTAATGAAGCATAAGTTTGGTTGGGTGTTTAATAAGCCCGTGGATGTGAAGGGACTTGGGCTGCATGATTATTATACAATTGTTAAATGTCCTATGGATTTGGGTACAGTGAAGACTAGGTTGAACAAAACTTGGTACAAGTCACCTAGGGCGTTTGCGAAGGATGTTAGACTAACTTTCAGTAATGCAATGCTTTATAACCCAAAAGGACAGGATGTACATATTATGGCAGAAAACTTATCTCAGATATTTGAAGAAAACTGGGCAGCTATAGAATTGGAGTATAATCTTAAAAGAAGGTGTGAAAGGATTCATGATTACAGTTCGCCAAATCCCACTTCAAGGAAACTTCCTGCTCCGGTTCCGCCACAGGCTTCAGTTCCGATTCAAACTCTTGCTCCTTCATCGCTATCATTAGAGGTTAGGACTTCGGGGAGACCAGAATCCATGACAATGCCCGATGATCCGAAATCAAGAGCTGTGGACTTGACTCCTACTGGTAAGATTGCAGTACCAAAGAAACCCAAGGCAAAGGAACCTGATAAGAGGGATATGACGTATGAGGAGAAGCAGAGACTCAGTGTAAACCTTCAAAACTTACCTTCAGAGGAACTTGATAGCATTGTCCAGATTATCAAGAAGAGGAACCCTGCACTTTTCCAGCAAGATGATGAGATTGAGGTGGATATTGACAGTTTTGATCCAGAAACACTTTGGGAACTTGATAGATTTGTGACCAACTATAAGAAGGGTTTGGGCAAAAGCAAGAGAAAAGTTAAAGTTCCTCTTCAAGCAAATTCTGGAGATGGTCACAATGTTCACGAGACTGTAAGATTATGAACAAGTGATTCTTGAGCATCATAACTGTTTTTGCTGTATAGAATTTCTGTTCACTGCAACATTTTGTTGTTATTCTTTGTGCAGAATCTGGAACCACTTGCTGAAGAGGTACCAAAAGTAGCTGAAACAGGTAATCACCATGGACCGACAAGAACTTTTATCATTTTTGGTCTATTCTTCACTTGTTTCGTTCTGAAGAAGATGGAATTTTCATACACTTATTATCATAACCGGTTGTATTGTGAAGCAGAAGAGAAGATTGCTCCAACGTCTCCTGTTCATAGAGAAAAACTACAAAATAACGAGAATGGATCAAGCAGTTCTAGCAGCGGCTCTGGATCGTCATCAACTGGTAAACTTTAAAGTTTTTCCTTTTGTTTTGCTCGAATGAGTTATATTTCAGTTTTTTCACGCTAATACTTTCTTTTTTGGTACTCAACCCAATACTTTATGCAGACTCTGACAGTGATAGTTCATCAGGGTAAGGTGACCCTGTCTTTTAATGGACTTAACTAAGGTAGGACATGTTATCTTGGGTAATGAACTTTTTCAATCCTTATTTTCAAAATAGTTTTGCAATTTTTTTAAGGTGATAAAGCAACTTTTAGTCTCTAAATTTGCCAACTTTTTTTCAACTCGGTCCCTGAACTTCTTTTGATCCACATTGGTCCCAGAACTTGGCAACTTTTCTCCTTTTTAGTCCTATGATGTGGCATGTTGATATTGTGACATGTAGCACAATCTTATATCATCAAAATGACAAAAATCCAAGTTCAAGGACTAAAAGTCACTTTATCCCATCTTTTCATGGTGCTAATTTGAGTTAAATCTCGTGATAAAACATATTGTAACCAGGGAACGTATAGGTTGATCCCTGCTTAAGTTTTGCTCTGTAATGCATAGGTGAACATCAAACACGAGGCTGATTCAGTATCATTACAAGTAGCAATCAATGATTCTGCTTAGCATTTCTGGAGGACCTGATCGAACTGTGTAACAGACCAATCTGAAGGAGATGAACGGCATGCGACTCAACTTTTTGAAAAGCTGGTTCTTTCAGTTGCATCATGCGGGCCTGGTATTCAGTTTTTCGAAATTGTTATGGCAAGGTTTTTCTGTAGGTCATGACACGTTCTATACCTGTTAACTGCTTATCTCTTAATGGTATCCCTTCATTGCAGACCTCAATCGTATAGAAGAAATTGTTGAAAGGGAAATGTGTAATGTTTTTGTGATAAAACATCAACTTCTCTTATTAAAACATTTACTAAAACAGGTTCCTGGCTGACCGAATGTGATTTCACACATTCACATTTTAATGCTCGAATGAATGGAACATCCCCAACTAAACTGGAATGAGAAGTTCTAATCAAATCCCCCTTCACAACATATCACTGGGAATTATTACTTGAAATGCTTATGTAAGGCCTATCCTACTAAGAACAAGTAAAGCCGATGCTGTTTGCAGCATGAAATACATCAGTTGCACTAAAACTTAAGAATTTACGATTGGTCTTATGGAAGAAATCATAAATAGTTGAGAACTAACTCTGGTTGGCAAACTTGATGCCCTTCTCAATAGATGCTTTCAGTTCTGGTTTGAGGCTCTCCAAGCCTTCTTTCTCGTAGTCTGAGAGAGGGCCTAACCCCAAAACTTCCTCCACTCCATTCTTTCCGAGCCTTACCTGCAAGTCAGAAATTGTGCTCAAGTGATCAGAGACGAGAAAGAAATCCCTACATTCCAGTTTAATCCAAAGCAATCAAGACTTAAATGTAAACAAATTGGGGGAATGGGATGATATAAGTGTGATATGGTATCAACTATACATGGGTGGGTGCAGGTTACAGCAGAGATAATAAATTCAATGCAGCTCACCTTCGGTATTGATGCAAAATTGAAAAGCAAATAGGGAATGGTAAAATATCAAAGAGATGTTGAGGGACTTTTGGACAATTCAACGATGTATAACAGGGATTATCACCTTGGACGCAAAGTAGGGGAGTTCAGTGACAGTTGACTGCACAAATGAACACTCCACCACATCAGGAACGCCATTCAGTCCCTTAAGGCAAGCATCAGCAAAAAGGGCTCCAGCATAGCTGCCCAAAGAAACAACACAACTTTGTCGGGCTAGAATGTCGTAAACCAAAATGATATGGCTCCATTTCAAGGCCATACAAAACAAATGCAAGGAAATCGAAACCTTCAAGTGAATATGTGATAACTAATACTTACGCCATTGATAGTGTTGCCGAACCCTTTCCGGCCTTTGCTTCCACAACTTCAGTGCCTCCGTCTTGTGTTCGCTTCGTGAGAGCCTTGATATCATCTTCAGGCAAATTGGCTTTTGGTGTGGCCTAAATGAATTTAAGATGCAACTAAAATTAGCAAAGACCAACAGAAAACTAAAATGAGCAAGGGTCAATCACTGCATGCATTAAAATAGAGAGAGAATGTACTTGAGAAAATAGAGGGAGAATGGTTATTCCAGCATGACCACCAACAACGGGGACATTAACATCTGCAAGCAAGAGAATAAACTTAGTCAATCAGCAAGTTCCTCCTATAATCAATATGCACTTATGCTATGATAATACCTTGCATGAAAGGAAAATATATCTACTTAAAAAAAACTTTTCTGGGCCCCAGAAACCCTTTGATAAGCTTCCTTTTTTCAGGAGAAAAAAAGGGATTATAAAGGGAGAAGGAGAGGTGAGGTAAAATAGTAGTAAACAAACCTGCAACATTTACTTTTGCCTTCCCAGCATAAAAAGTCTTAGCCCTAACCACATCAAGGGTGGTTACGCCAAACAACTTTCTCTCATCATATGTCCCTGCCTTCTTGAAAACCTCAGCTGCAATCGGAACAGTTGAATTGACAGGGTTGCTGATCATATTAACAAGTGCCTGGACCACAAATTTGGTTCATTAAAGTTGGGAATAAAAAAAAATATTCTATCCATATAGAAGCTCGCAACAGAGAAAAATTCTTAGTAGCTTTCAGTTACCAAAACTCTGTTAAATTTTAAGCATCAGGGGGAAAGAATGATGATTAGTTGATCGAACAGAACTCTAAACTCTTTACTAAATCAGACAACAAAGTGCAGTGTTAGGTTCTCTGATCATTTGTATGGTTGCCTCATACCTTGACACGATAGACATTAATACTCGTATACAAGACAGAGGACCAAACAAATTATATTTTTACAAGCATTAAGGATCCCTGATATATGGAATTTTCAAATTAAAAGAAAAAGGATAGACACTCACATTGGGACAATACTTGGCGATTGCAGAGCATAGACCCTTGACAATTCCGGCATTAATGTTGAAAAGATCATCACGAGTCATACCAGGCTTTCTTGGCACCCCAGCAGGAATGATGACAACATCACATCCCTCCAAAGCTTGCCCCAATTGCTCTTCACCAACATATCCGACAACCTGAAGGTAAAAAAGGGTAAATACATAAGGAATAGGAATAATGATTACAAAATTAAGAGTTTAAGACACAAGATTATAAAATAAATACATTTCATAACAGAATGAAGATCATAACCCTGACAAAAGAATAACCAGGTAGAAAACAGAGTACTTTGATTAAATCAAATAAAAAATGGGCCCATGAGCATGAACCATAGAAAAATGGATAAACTGATTGTCATAAAGACATGCTTAAAAGTTCAAAAAAATAATCAGGTAAGCCGTAAACCACACAGATATAAAACATTGGAACACGTATAGACAAATGAAATGAAACTAAGCCGTATCAAAGCTCATACAAATATAGAAGAATCATATAAATTTCCAGATGTTAAGAAAAATACAAGTAATGATGGGCATGGACATCAACATGCAACAAATCTCAATTCTTCAATCCTTTTTTATGGAATGAATCAAGTAAAAAAGCTAGATCAGAGGCAAATACATATTATTTAGGTAAGAAAAAACAAGGTTGATTTCAAAATAGAAACCAGTCAAATCATATTAGACACATAAATACATTCACATAGACACTTTAAAAGATGAAACCATATAGCAAAGCCAAATTGAAATGAATCAAAGAACTAGACCATTAAGCTGAAATCCCATCTACAAAGTTTGAGATCATAATTTCACTATAAACACATTCATACAAAATGTCACATTTTACAAGCAATAAATCCATTCTTTAAACAAATTAAAAATAAGCGAAATCAATAATAATAAGATAAATAAAATAAAAAAGGGGAAAATCCAAAATAAAACACCAAAACCAAAACAGAACCGACATCAGAAACAGCTTGAAACAACTTTGTAAACTAAACAGTAGGAAAACTAAATCTAAAAACCATACATTTTTACACGACAAAAAAAAATGAGATTTTTTATATATGGACCTCAGATCTAGTGTTGATATGGCTGACATCAGCGGCAACACCGGGAGTGTTAGCGATATCATAGAGAGTAAGTCGAGAAACAAGAGGGTTAAGCTTCATAAGAAGAGCCAATGGCTGCCCGATCCCTCCAGATGCGCCCAAGACGGCAACTTTCCGATCGGGTACGGATTCAGTGGAAAATCCTCGTCGGAGGAGGTGCTTTCCGGCGGCCGATCTAGCAATTGATCGAAACATTTTCGCAGGAGGTTGAAGCTGCGGACTGGCGAGAATAAATAAAAAAGAGGGCTTTTGGTATTGGTTTGATAGCTTCGAGGAGTGGGTAATATCTGAGGTTTATGTAGGCATATTTGATTTGTGAATTTAACATTTTTTTAATTTTAACATTAAAATAAATATTCAAACTATAATGTTTTTTTAATAGAGGACTAATATTATTATTTTTTTGACTGATTCGGTGTCATATTAGGTAATCGAACCATCAATGATATTAATTTTTTCGTTAAATTACACGTGTTATAATATGTTAATTTTAAAAAATTTATTTAAAATAAAAAAATAAAATTATATATATTTTTAAAAAATATAAATATTTTGAAATAACTTCAAAACCTTAAAAGCCTTCATTTCAACCCCTAAATCCACACCCGCCGTCACATTTTGCCGTCAACAAAGCTTCACCCAGCCTCACATCCCTCCGACGACAAAACCCTTATGAAATAGTGATCGATCGATGATGAATCGATATAATCGTAATCCCATGTTATTTCAACGGCCAATCGATGGCAACTATGACAACGTAAGACTAGGAGGAGAGTATGGACTATGTCGACAGCGGTAGTCATGGTCGGAAAAGACGATGACGACGAATTAAAGTTTGGATTTGAGATTTTGTAGTTTTTTATAATTTATGAGAAATTAGGATTTTTTTTATAATTATAATATTTTTTAAATATTTTTTAAAAATAAATTTCAAAATTACCAAATTGTGACATATGTTAATTAACGAAGAAAATTAACGTCATTGACGGCCCAAGCACCTAAAATGATAATGTTTGTAACGTTAGGCTCTCAGACGAGTCAAAAAATAATTGAGCACCTATTTGAGAAAATTGGTATAGTTTAGATACTTATTTTGGTTTTAAGCATATTTTTTCAAATATTTTTATTAATAAATTAAAATATTAAACTTAAAATATAATTTAAAAATATATGTTTTTAAATATCAATTTAAAATAATATGGTTAGTTAATTTAGATACGAAATTTATAGTTAAATCTATTATGTATTTACGAGTTAATTTTGAAAATTTCAAAATAAAAATGTTTTTCTTATATTTGAAGTTAAATGGTTTTAATTGATTTCTACCCAATTTTAGCATTAATTGCTAACCTTTTAGCTACAATAAAGATAAAATAATTTGTTAGTACTCGACATTTTACCATTTTGACACTTAAAAAACCATAAATATAGATTATTGAAAATGCATTTTGTTCGTTTTTTTTATTTTTAAAAATTAATAATTAAATTAATAAAAACTGTAAACATATGAAACTAAAATATAAACATTTTGAAATTAAACATATATTTTAGATTTTTTTATGTATATTTTAAAAATTATACATCCAATTTAGCATTAAATAGTTAATATGATTTGATTTGAATTTAGGAGTAATGATTTAAATAACAATTTGTTATCGTAATAACAATTCTGACTGCCGAAGGTCTTCCACGGAAGTTACTCTCAACCTGGCGTTGGGGGTAGCCTACTACCCTACCTCCCCCTTACCCCATTACGTATGGGAATTGGGTTTTGTTGTTGTTGATGTCTAAAATTATTATTGTATGATTGCGATACCCACAATGATCATAATAATATTTGTTAGGTCCGCAATTACAACAAACATAACACAATAAAAAATATAATCACAGCCGTAATTTAGATCCCTAAGGGTGCGTTTGGTTCACGGAATGTAAGATTACCAGTGGGAATAAAAGATTACCAGGGAATAGGATTACTGGGAATGTTGTATTTTGTGTTTGGTTGGTTTAGCAGGAATGTAAGATTACCGTGTTTGGTTAAAGGAATAAAAGATTATTAGAATGTATATTTAACCAAATTGTCATTATATATTTGTATAATATTACAAATTGTAAAATATTTATATATTTTCTTTAAAAAATTAAATTCATTATATTTATATAATTTTTTTACAAAATTAAAAATATAAAAAAAGGTTTAATGAAAGGGTAAAATTTTTTTAACCCCTGAATTTTATATAAAATTTTAATTATATATTTTTTTATAAATCTAAAATAATTTAAGGATAAATTTGTAATTTAACCTTCGTATAATTTTTATTATTCAATGATAGAAGAAGGATATTTTTTGAAAAAAATAAAAATTTAAGGGCATTTTAGTCCAAAACGCCGTAATGTTACAATACCTAAGGGAAGGGAGGTAATGACATTCCCGGTAATATACACAAAAAAATCTACTATTTGTAATAAAACATTACCGGGAATGAGATTCCCGACCAACCAAACATGAGAATGTGGGATTCTCATCTCATGGGAGATGGGAATCCCCAATCTTTGAACCAAACAACCCCTAAATACAACGATCGAGTACTATTGCACTCGATTCATAATGGAACCTATCTCAGATCATGCAACAAATCATATTGTACTAAAACGTCTAGTGAACCTGAAATCCATATATAAACATGACTAGAGATGGGAAGGAACGAACATAAATTTATAAATGAGACGAGATAAATCGTGAGCTATTCAAGATCGACTCGATCAACGCTCAATAAATACTCGACTTGTTTCGAGTTCATAACGAGCTAAAATGAGCTACTTCATACTTGATTCGAAAAAATTATATATTAAAATTATATATTTTAAAAAATTAAATTATTAATAATATTAACATTTATGTGTTTATTTAAAAAAAATGTAGTAAAAGGTTTTCATGTGCTTAAGGTTTAGATTAAATTAATTTCAAGATTTTTTTTATTTCGAGCTTTGGCTAGTTTTTTTGAGCTGCAATTCATGATTTCAAGTTCGAGTCGAGCTTAAAAATTTTAGGATTACAATTTTTCAAACCAAATCGAACTCGATTTTAGAGTTTTCGAATTAAGTCGAGCTCAGAAATACTTGAGCTCGATTCCACTCGTTTACAGCCCTTACCGGATGTATTGGTGTTTGAGAGCTACGTATGGTGGATGTACAAGCCTCAGATCAATGATACGTAAGTGTTCGGTACCGCGTAGGATTTACATATGAATATATATGAATTTCACTTCAACCATGTTAATATCTTATACAAGACTGTAATAACATAATTCCGAAATCGGAATCATGGTCATTGCTTTCAGCTACGGATCCATGGAGGATGTTCAAGTATATAATGTCACAACTGCTTACAGAATAGCAATGGAAACTTGGGCAACCTGGTTAGAATCCGCCATAGATCCTCATCTGCGAAAGTTCGTCTTCAAGGTTCATATTGGGGCACAGGGTCTAACCCAGATATCATGGAGATAATGCATGAAGTTCTACAAGATCTTAAAATCAATGTCACATTCTTTAACATTACCCAGTTATCAGAATATAGGAAACATGATCATACAACGGTTTCCGGAGAACGGAGAGGCAAGCTCTTGACAAAGGGGCAAAGAGCCGAGGCAAGTGCCCGATACATGGAATGAGATTTTGTATGCACATTTGTTGCAAGGTTATCAAAATTTTTTGTGATCTCAACTGTATTTGCATGTGAAAGAAAATGGAGATGAACATCAAAATGATGATGCAAACATGTATTTCAGATAATCAAGCTTGATTATGAAGAAGTAATGGCTCATGTGCAATAAAATATGTATGAAGAAAACATAGAAAACTAGATATACACTGTTGAAATTTGAAACGCTGTGCCATTTATCATAGACAATTTGATTTACAGGACAGATTGATTACCTGCATGTTTATTGTAAATACATTGAAGGTGGAACTTTGAACATGAGTATTCACAGCGTATCTCATTCTTATGGCACGAGGGAAAAGCTTGAGAATGAATCCGGTTGAAGATGATCAAAATAAAAGTCTTTATGTGCTTAAAGGATTTCCCAGTCAGAATCACATACAAGTTCTGTCTGCGTATTTTTGGGCTCCGAGGATGATGGCTGTAGAGTTTGAAAATGATCGTGGACTGAACACATGTCCGCATCGCCAAACCAAATTGCTAGCTGCTCGTACTCCTTCGCCCGCCTCTTTCTTGAAGTTAAAGCATCCTGTATTCTTTTCTATTGAAAGAAAAATGAGAATGCAGCAATTTAGCTAATGACTATATAGAAAGTAAAAGAAGATACTATCAGATCAGGCCGGGCATATGAGAGACCCTGATTCGGTCCCCATTTATCTAAAGCATCATGCAAAAAGTAGCCTAAGGTTCATTGTCATTTATGTACCTATGCATGTCTCAACATAAATAAAGTAAAAATGACTATTAAATTCTAGGTATTTCACATATTAAATGATTTTTGCAGGTAGATACTAATAGTATCAACTCTATTTGCATTGCGAACATAAAATTTTCTCAAGAATTTACTGACATAACTGAACATTCAATTGGAGAATACTATCACATTTTCTCATGTTGAAAAGTAAGATCTCCAATGTCCGTGACTTTATGCATGTGTGCATAAGAGAAAGTGAGAGAGACGGACCCTGTATGATTTGTGTTTATTTAATCTACGCGAGACCGCATAAAGTGCACTACTATCAGGAATGACACAGCTGTCCTCAAGCTTCACCTTGTCATACAAATCAATGGTCTCCATGGAAGAAAACTTGATATCATCATTGGAATCATCTACATGTCCTGTGTATGGTTTCCATAAAATTAGAAGATGGTTACGTTTCTCCAATCAACATTTCTTTTGGTGCAATGAGATATACCGTAAAAAAAACCTTCTTATGCTATGGTGCAAACCAGGTCACCAAAAATGCATAACATAAAGAAATCCGTTCATAATTAGCAAAGACTGGCCCCTTCATACTATAGATATACACACAGATATGTACCGATATGAAGACACTGACTAGTTTGAAACTCATTTTGATCAAATTGCTGAATGACCTAACCGTTTAATATATTACCAGCATAGTTTTTAAATAAACCTTCTTTTGAAGGTAATATCATTTCATTTTTCATGCATATAGTGGCTTGTATTAGCAGAAAAATCAATGACTACACACATCTAAAGCAAGCCAGGTTTCTGATGGTCTAACATTTTACATTATGCTTGCTTACCTATATTAGAAGAGGATGAATCCTGAAGTTGAGGAGATTCACCACCAAAGTGAAGATTTTTGTTTCCCGAAATTCCAGTCAGAGACTTGGAGCTATTAACAGTTCTGTAGGCACCATTTCCTGTTATATTACAACTAAGATGAAAATCAATTCCACGAGAAATAAAATATCATTACATAGGAACAAGAGGCTAACCAACTGATGCCATGGACAAGTCATTTCTAGATGAAATGGATGCTTCCACCTTCAACTCCTTCTCATCGGATAGAAGTGAAGCCAACATGGAAGATGAATATACATTGTGAGAAACTAACCCAGCTACATTAACAGGGTCATGATAAATAAATGTTTTTGCGGGTGAACTTTCTAGTGAGTTCTCAGCCAAATAAAATTCCTTAAATGCCGAACCACTAGAAGAACAGACCCCAACCTCTGCCATATCTTCCTCACAACCAATGACTAAAGAAGCCATTTTGGAAGAAGTAACATCACCTAAAGAATCTGAGACACGCTCATCCTTAATTTTTCTTGCATTTTGGTTACCATGAGCTGAAGTTGTAGAGGAAAAATCAGTGTGAACCATGGATGGATTTTTATCTTCACAATTAACAATTCCTTCCTCGCAAGGAAAGATCGATTTCGAAACATCAGATGCAGATGGTTTTCTCACATCCTGAATTGAATTAGCGGGAGAAACCTCAGCTTCAAAATACATTTCTTTATCATTACTATCATTGAACTTGCTCAACAATGAAGCTCCAAGGGGTTCCTTCGCAAAAGGTGTCACTAACCCCGATACCTTGGAAACTGAAGGCTTCTCCATTGTGGGATATTCCTCTAGGTTTACTTCAAGTTTTGTATCATTCAAAGCCTCGGCAGCTTCTTCTGATGTTATGGATTGTTTACCCAAATGGGAATCCACAGTATTAGGGTTACCTGGTTGGTCTACATGGCAAAGCTCACCAAAAGAACACGCGAGCTGCCTGTTGACCACATCAACTCCAATGTTATCACTAATTCCTGCCTCCTTTCTAGGGGATTGAGATTCCATATCATGAACTAGCATTGCAAGAGAAACCTCACCCGCAGCCCCAGGTGAAATTTTCTTGGTACAATCAATGAACTTATTATTAGTCAATGAGTCTCCAAATGATTCTTCCACTCCAAAAGAAATCAGATCTGGTACATTAAACCCAGATGATTTTTCCCTGATGGGATTTTCTTCTATGCTTACAACAGAACTTGTAGTTTTCATAGCATCACAAAGTTGTTGGGAAATTATGCCCGACTCTGCCCCATCGAGGGTATCAGCAGAAGTTGGAAAGCTTGATTGAGCCAGAGGGAAAAGTTCATTAAAAGCATGATCAAGCTGTTTTTCAATTGTATCAACTGCAACAGGCTCAACATGTGATAGGTTACAAACAGTGCTTATGTGATCATCCTGAATAGCAGCCTTCAATTCAAAAGGGGTATCAATTGTAGCGCTTCTTTTTAAAGCAACTCCTTGACCTTCATGTTTTGAAGGAAGTACAACATCAGAATAAAATCTCTTCATGCTTTTACCCACACGATGTGCCTGGTTTTCAGCATATTTGATAGTGTCCTGCAGAGAAAGCCATTTACCAGATCATGAAAGAACTTCAATGCCAAAGCATATATATTCTTGGGTGCATCAATGACTATTAATTGTCGAAAACTTGTTTCAGTCAATTGATAACAGAGCATGGCTGATGAAGATGAGATCAAAGAATTAATACCTGATTCACAATATTATCCATCTCATGACACAATGTTTCGAACTTCTGGTAAATGCCCCCCACCCAGCCAATACCTCTGATTTTAAAATCCATCCCCGAGTGTTTTATTGTCAAAGCCAATGACACACATACCTCAGTTCAAACAACAGGTATACGTCCTTATTCTTGCCCCCGAGTTCTTAATTTAGCCTGAGAAAGTTCCAGAACAGAAGAATCACTTACAAAATTAGAAGAAAAGAAAATATCCAGATAAGCAAATACCATCTGCGTCTGAGTCAGAAAAACTAAATAGGAGGTAAACAGCAATAGACTAGACACAGACGAAAAAGTGTAAATAGATTGTCAAATAAATTTAAGTCTTTCCCAATCACTATAATAGCAGTCAAACTACGGCTAACTCATAATTACCAGGTAACATAAATCAGAATGATGAAAAAGAAATTTTTTACCACATTTAATCCATAAATCAACAGCTCAAAGTACTCAAAACTCACTATATCCTCCATGGATAACCATTTAAAACTCACTGCTTGCACAAATTTAGCTACCCATAAGTATCGTCGCTCTAAAAAGAATAAAAAAAAGAAGATAGAGAACTTTAATTCTCCATTATTGCTTTTAAACGTTCCCTAAAAGAAGTCTATCACTTCCCCACCATCATACATACATATATGCATGCATCATGCACAAGCATAGAACACGGAGATCATCTAAAAAAACGTATTTTGCAGAATTTCCAGATGTTTTTTTTTATAAATAAAATTCGATTTACATCAATATATATATATATATATATATCCGTACATAGGATAGAGCCCAAACTCATCAAAAGAAAACAATTCCAGATGAATTTACGAAAATTTCAAAAACTGAGGAATAGAATAAAACCCAGAAAGATTATAAGGAGTAGGAGATGGGATGGTTACCGGTGGTCGGGGCGGGTGGTGGACGGCGGATACCGGCGGATTATTTATCAACGGAATTCTATTGAGTGAGAGAAAGAGAAGAGAATGGGTTTTGTGAGGAGAAAGAGGGGTTTTTTAGTAATCATCAAATTCGTAAACCACACCGTGTTATCATCAATCAAAGAAAAACAGCTTTCTTATATATATATATTATGAAAGTTAATTGTGTTATTATGAACAAATAATACCAATTTGGGAAAGTTTTATCACTTCCTTTTGCGCTAATTAATCTCCAATTTTAGTTATTTATTTTGAGAAAACTTGTATTAGCCTTTCTTTCTAACGATAAATGTATATAATATTTAACTTAAATTATTCAATTCATAAATTAAATACTAATAATTATAAAAATTTAAATAAGAGCTTATAATTAGTACTTTTTGTGCAATTATAATATGAATTAACTATAGGATTAATGATTTTGCTTTCATATTGGTACGCTTTTATTTATTTTAGATTTAAAAATATTATTTTTTGGTTACTTACGTTATTAATTTATTAAATTTTGTTTACTTTACGTTACCAATTTCTATGTTTATATCATTAAACCATTTATACCTAAATTTTAGATAAAATATTAATTTGACGTTAAACTTTAGATAAAATATCATTTTTGACACTTAAATTTTAGTTAAAATATCAATGTGGTGCCTAAATTGCACAAAAAATCTCGTCATTGACTTTTCTCACCGTTGTTGTTGTCGGTCACTACTAATCACCGTTGATTATAATTGTCGATGACTGTTGGGCTGATGACGATAATGGTCAGTGACGGTTGACAACGACTATAGTCAATGGAAACTGGTGGTGTTAAATTAAACTCGAAATAACAAATTGAAGCACGACTTGACATGAAAGCTCGCAAGCTTAAAATTTTCAAGCTTCACTCGAAAGTAAAAACTCAAACCTGAACCTTAAGTACATGAAAGTCTTATATTGTATTTTTTAAAATAATATATAAATATTAATAATATTAATACTTTAATTTAATAAATATAAAAATTATAATATATCGTTTTTTTAGTATCTCATGAATTTTTGAGCAAGTATTAAGTAGATCACTTCATCTCGTTCAGAATTCGAGTCAAGTTCGAGCTCGAGTCTATCCAATTCAAATATTGACCAAGTTTTATCCGAGTCAATCTCAGGTAACTCGTGATCTGTCTCGTTTCGTTTACATTCTTATTATAACAGCTCAATTAGGAACATATCTATTTGATAAATGGGAGTGGCTATGGCCCCTAACCTGGAAAAAAGTTTTTTTTTTTACATTTATATATATACATAATATAAACATTTATGGTATGACCTAATACTTTAGAAAACTTACATTTTACCCCTCCCGAGTTAGAATTTAGCATTATCCATAGACTCAATGATCAAAATGTAACAATCGATAATGTAATCGACCAAAATTCAATAAACCAATAAAGTAAATAACTGAAACATAATTTTTAATTTTTGATAAATAAAAATATACAAAAATAAAAAAATGGCCAATCAAATAATTTACCTTGTAATATTGATTTTGGCCGTGAAAGTTCATCATGTCAATGTTTATTGAAGAATTATTATCGTAATTAAGATTAATTAGAAAATGTATAATCCATTTTTGTACCTATCAAAATTCCATCAAATATTTTTATTATATCGAATTAATCAAAATTAAGAAATTCAATTCTTTTAAAACTCTTTTATAAAGACGATTCTCTTCTGTTTGATCATATGGAGTATATTTAAATAGCTTTATTATCTGACACATAAAAATATTTTTTTGAATTAATCACACTGTTATCCGATCTATTGACCGACTAATCCAGTTTGAGTACTGTAAAGGCAAAAACGATCCTCTCAACCCAGCTTGCTCCATTCGCAAACATCAGGATTCGAACTCGTGACCTTGCTTAAGGTACTTAATGTCTCATCCTATTAGACCAACTAATTGTTGGTCATGAAAAATAATTTAAATATATGCATCGATATGCTTTAATAAATAGTAAGGGCAACCATTTTTTTTTGCATTGTACTCGTAAAATCCCCATAGTTCCTTAAATATGTTTTATATTTGCATATCAAAATTGTTGTTTTGATAACTTTTAATTTATTTAAAAATTTATTAAATGGTAAATTATTTTAGATGATTCATTCACCTAGAAAAAAATTAACCACTATTTATTTGTATGATATTTTCTTTATTTTAGCAATAAATATAACGACTTTAAAATCATTAGAAGGCAAATTATGTCAAAATGACTGATATAATGTCTTGGAATTTTTTTGCCAAAATAGTTTATCTGGAACATTATTTTCCAGATAGGACGATTGTTACGGTATAAAGAAGAAGGTTACTGTATAAAGGAGAAGACTCGTTGTGTTTCATACGTCTTCAGAAGACCCTACGAGTCTTCAGTTGAAGATTCCAAGACTGCTATGCGTTTTCAACCTTCCCATATATTTCAAATTCTGGAAACTCGTTGAATTCCTGAAATCTTCAACTGAAAACTCGTTGCACTCTTAGAGTCTTCTGATGTTGCATGGATCACCCTACGTCTTTGCCTTAACATTATAGCAATCACCCTAATTTGAAAAATAATGCTCATAAGAATTTTTTTTAAACTCAGCAATCAGTACTAAAAGCCCGTCTCCTCTAGTTTGTTTATTTTTACAGAAATCTTTGCTTGGAAATACGAACGTGAACTTTCCCTACTCTCTCTCTCTAAGACTGTCAATAGCCATGAAAATTGGCCACCACTCTCTTGGCCGATGAAAGGGAGTTTCTAGCATATCCAGCACCAAAAACGAATCGATCTCACCACAAGCTCTCAAGTAACCACCCCATCAGCCATTATTAATAATTCTAAAGCAGTCTTAATAGCAACTACCAAAGCCAAATCAGACCCGAACCCCTCCACTGGACCAGAGAACATAACACGAAGGATCCCATCTGGTTGGCACAACACTCCTCCGCAACCTAGCTGGCCTTCTACCATAACTCCTGCCACCATGAATTTCGCCAAACATTCCAAATAGTCCTCCAATCCTGCTTCAGAAGAGAAACTTTGGTGATGCAACAAGTTGAGCTCCTCGGACAGCTCCACCAACTATCCAACTTGACTTCCAAGCAATCCTTCGAAGACTTTAACCAGGTCAGCGAACGTAGTTTTGTATTAAAAATCAAATCCTCCACCCTGCACAACTTTCCTTTAAATATCGCGTCATTTCTAGCCACCCAAATACTCCAAATTGCAGCAGAGACAGATTAGCCACATGCTTCTACTCGTACCTGACCAACCCGAATTAAAACAGAACGTAAACAACCCATCTAAATCACTAGGACTTGGTCGGTGTATATTCCACCACTGGCAAAAAAGGCTTCAAAAGTTAATGGTGACCCTGCAAGAAGTAAATAAATGCTTTGCATCTTCAAAACCTGATCCGCACCAACCACACATTTCTTGTCATTCCTCAAGCACGACCCCTCGATCCACAAGAAAACGCTTTGTAGGGATTTTATCCAGTTTTAGCATCCACAAGAAGCTTCTCACCTTCGGAGGCACCTTTAGTTTCCACAGTGTATCAAAGTTAAAAGTTGGGACCTCCACCCCCGTATTCACAATCAACTCGGTAAGTTTCTTAACTGAAAAATCTCCACCTTATCATGAAGCCAAATAATCCGATCTGGAATATCGCGAACCAACTCCATTACCTGAAATACCTGCAGTAACTTGCTCAATTGGACAGATTCTCGGTCTAACAAGCGTCTTGTGAATTGTAGATCCCAATGAACGACTCTGGCTCCTTCCCTTATTGCCACATCGGCCACTACCACCCACTTCTGACTTTACAGTCTATAAAGGCGCGGAAATTTACTACTTAGCGTTTAATCGCAACACCAACAATCTTCCCAAAACAACACCAACTCTCCGTTCCCCACCTTCTATTTAAACTCATCAGCTCCCATCCATTTACTAATATCTTCTGTACACCAATTATAAACTATACCTCTCCACACAATAGACATCCTTCTCACTTTTGAGGTCTTCAACAACCAACTCCTTCTAGACTTCCCGTATTTATTGATAATTACTCTCCTCTACAACACCTTTTCTTCCATGGCATACCTCCAACCCCACTTGGCCAATGGAGCCTTGTTCTTCGCTTGTAGATTAATAACCCCCACTCCTCCCTTAGATTTCGATAGACAAATAACTTTCCACCTAACACGAGCCAGCTTCCTGCTACCGAGAGAACTATTCCACAAAAAGTCACGCCTAAGCCTATCAATCTTCTTCAAAACCATCTTAGGTACCTCAAAAATGGACATATAATAAAGCGGTAGTACGGATAAGATCGAATTGATCAACGTCACTCTTCCTGCAAAAGACAGTCTTGCACTTCCACCCAGCTAATTTCGCACGAACCCCTTATACTATCGGATCCCAAGTCCTGACTCTTCTCGGATCCGCTCCCAGCGAAATTCCCAAGTATGTAATTGGAAGGCTTCCAACCTTGCACCCCAGACAGGACGCAAGATCAATCTCTACATCAGAATCAGTCTCGGCCTCCACCAAACAAGATTTGTTAAAATTTATCGTTAGACCCGAGCACAACTCGAAACAATTTAGAATGCTCCTAACGTTGACCAAATTTTTTTTTTCGATTGAAAAAACAACACTGTATCATCGGCAAACTGCAAGTGAGATATCGAGCACTCCTCCACCACACCCCTGATCCCTTCAATTACCTTAACTCTTTCTGCCTCATCTAGAAGGAGATGTAATGCTTCAGTTACAAAAATGAACAAAAAACGGGGACAAAAGATCCCCCTGACGCAGTCCCCTCTTCATTTTGCATTACTTCGTAGGTGAACCATTTACAAGGACCGAAATTCTAGTTGCCGAGATACATTCCGCCATCCACCTGTTGCGGAATACGGCTATCGGATAGAGCAAAATCGTAACTGATAATTTGAGAAAATAAAAATGAAGATAAATAAGACACAAATTTTACGTGGAAAACTGACGCCGGACATAATAATGATTATCCTGCAGGCGCTCCAACAGATGATTCACAAGAGAAAATTCGCCCAAAAAAACCAGAGA